TCTATTTCTAAAATATTGTCATTTCAAAAATGTTATATATAAACGGAATCATACAGTAGGTAACCTTTTTCAATCAGCGTAATTCCCAGGAGAGTCATCCAAGTTGGTGCATTTATCAATAGCTGATTCCTTTGTATTGCTGAGTGGTTCACTGTATGAATGTATCACCATTGGTTTAACCACTCACTTGCTAAAGGACATCTGGGCTGATTGCAATTTTTGGCTATTATGAATAAAACTGCTATGAACATACATGTGCAAATTTTTATGGAAATGTAAGTTTTCACTTCTCTGGGATAAATGCCCAGGAGTACAATTCCTGAGTCACCTGGTAGTTTTCTTAGAGACTTCCAAACTATTCTCAGGAGTGGCTCTGTTACTGTTAAAGGCTGGAGAGCATGCTGATGTGCTGAAGGGAACCAGTGTCTGAATCAGGGCTTTGCCTCCTCCTACACAAGCCGCTAGAGCCAGGCTTTTGGAAAGCGGAGAGAGGATGGGCCCCATGGCTCTGGGGAGGGACTAGCTGGTCTGTGGTAAGGAAGAGGGGCACTTCTCAGACTACCAGGAAGGGAGAGATATAGGTGGGTGGAGAGGCAAGACAGCTCTGCAGGTGGTGTTAGGAATGAAAGGAAGCTCCCCTTTTCTTGTATCCCTAGTAACATAAGAGGCTAGGGCAGGGTATATTATACATCAAATCATCCTGTTGCACACCTTACTCTAATATGATGTTATATGTCTATTATATCAATAAAACTGGAAAATAAAACCTGAAGAGGCTATGTCATTGCTGAAATGAAAAGGGTGGAGTTTTGCAGAGAGACAATGGGTATAAAAGTCAACTTAGAGAGTGGAAAAGCAAATTTACTGAAGGAATGTACTAGGTCTCCCTGGCAGTGTTGACAGCCCACTTGAGGTTAGCACTGTGAACATGAAATTAAGATCTGCCTGGCAGTGTGATTTTGTTCCAGCAAAAGCACTAAGGCAGATGGTGGATTTAGATGGAGTAGGGGGTTTTCTAGGCAGTCACCAAGGGGGGAAACAGGGCAAGAAAGTGGTTATAGGGATAGATGATGGAAATTAAGCTAAAAGAGAAGGTACATGAAAACTGGGGCTAATGAATAGTAAGCAATTAGTAAGGTCAGCGGGTTGGAGTTCATGGTAAGAGCCAAAGAACTGTTGAGGGAGGCTTAATTACGGCAAAGGTCATGATGAGAGAAACTGTGTGGTTTATGGTGACAACAAAGTTGAGAGGGTGGCTGCCATGGAGAATGAAAATACCACTGGAGATGAGGAGGTTAAGGAAATGGGAGGAGAATGTTGGAGAGGCCATCACAGGGACGGTGAGCTCAGCAGATAGAACAAAATTTAGGGTGGAGACAGAGGCAGTGGGCCAAGAGCTACATGGGCAGCTAACAGGAGACTGACTGGTGACATCAAGCAAGATGGTATATGTCCAGGTGGTGAAGCTTCGAAAGAACGGGTTGTGTAGGAGGGAGGCTAGCACCGATTCAGACACAGCACTGCGGGGTGGGAAAGAAACACACCCAGTTCCTGACCCTGAAGTACATGAGAATGAGAGGACCGCGGCTTTCACCTAAGAGGACTGCTAGAGAAGCAGTGCCATCAGGAGATGCTAGGTTTCAGGTAAGGCGAGGAGGTGTGGGCAGCATCCTGAGAAAAGGCTGAGGATATGGAAGAATTTGCTGGTCCCAGGCTGCAGAGGGGACAGGGGAAGGATGTGGCTTGTGGGAGGGAGCTGGGAGGGGGTCAGGCAAATTGCCAGCGTGAGGACCAGGTTAGAGGTGATACTGGATGAGAAGGAGCTCCAACCTGTGGTGAAATGAAGGTAAAAAGGGATAGGGGACTGATGGGATACAGTACTATCCAGAACTTTGTCTTGATAGAAGAATCTGCACTATGAATACTGGAATTCCTAGCCCCTCATGGCTATTAAACACATGAAATGTGGATAATGGGACTGAGGAACTGCATTTTAACATTATTTCATTCAAGTTAATTTAAATTTAAATAGCCACATGTGGCTAGTGCCTATCATATTGGGTAGCACAGGTTAGAAGATGGTGGCTCCCCATTTTTGTGAAATTTTCACTTGCTGTCCAGGAGGCCATCAGGGTGGTCACCCCTTCAAATAGCAAGCTGTGGCAGAGACCTAACTCCTCCACTGTGTGAATGCAGACAAAGCACAGGGTCAGGCAACTCTGGGTCCAAACTCTTAACTCCACTGCTTACTAGCTTTGAATTAGAGAAAATACATTAACTTGCCTGGTATGTATAGGCCTGCAATAAATAACAGTTGGCAAAATCTCCCTGGGGCTTAATTCTTCTGTAGAATGGGAGTGGGGTAGTGTAAAAATTAGTACTTAAGCATGATGCTCAATAAGTGGTCCCTATCATTGACATAGTGAGTTCTCAGTATTTGCTGATTGACTGAGAACTATCCCTCAGACCAAAAGCTTACTTGTCTAGGATGGGCTGGCAGGAATGCACTATCCCTGCTCCTCTGGGGGCCAGAAGGACCAGGTCTCTGGGGCTATAAAATGGGATGGATCATGGCTGGGTTTAATTGTTCAGTTCTGCTATGTACTAATGGAAGAATATACCTGGCTTGAACTTGGAAGAGCAGGTAGGGATAGCCAAGAGGACTAGGTAGACGATCTAAAGTGAGTATGCAACCAGCCTTGCTTAAATATCTAGTGATAGTCTGGGCAGTTCTGGTGTCATTTACCACTTCAATTTTGCAGAGAAAAGTGTTAGTTTGGCAGGTCTAAACCTTTCTTCCTTCTGTGCATCCCCATCACCTAAAAATGAAAACCATGTTTTTTCATGAAGTAGAGGAACAGTGTCCTGAGATGGTTCTATAATGTGGGACATTTGTGATTTGGGGCTATGATGAATTGAGAGTCATTGTGACCTCTGATCTGGAGCACGGTTTCTGCGAAGCCATCCCTATTTCCGTACCTAATTTCTCTGGTTTCTTTCAGATTGAGCACCTACTTTGTATTGTGAGGCCTCTCTGTGTCTCTCCCTCTGACAAGATTGTAACCTCAGAGGCAGGAACTTTGCCTAGTTGATCATTGAGTGCTCCTGGACTCTAGTACCAGCCTGGAGCACATTGTAAGTAGCTGCTCAATAATTATTTGTTAAACAAATGAATGGGATATGAGGTGAAGGCCGTCCCACAGTGATCTATGATAAGAGATCTGTGATCTCTTGTTTGCAGTCTGGTTTGACTGTGAATAGAGTCGGGAGCTTTGACAATTGTGTTGAAATGCCTGCCATTGTTACCTGTAATGACTGTGATCTGAGGGACCAGCGATTGGGACCTATGGTCACTGATCTGTGATAAGGACCAGCAGGGAGAGTGAATGGAGATGCTGTGATCCTTGCATGATTGTGATCTAAAGTGACTGTGACCAAGTAAGTGATGGTGCCTTCCACCACTGCTGTCAGGGGACTGATATCCTCACCCACAGAGATTTGGCTTAGTTTGACAACCGGCCAGTGTCAGGCCTTGACTGTTGACCTGTATTAAAGTGTTAAAGGTGCAGAGATTGTTGATCTCAGCCGACAGCTGAGTTTATCTGCATTAGGAGCTGAGTTAACTGAGATCTGTGGGCCTGGGTTCAGTCGGGGAATAGCGTTAATGCGTGAGCAATACTCTCATAAGATTTCCGATTTTTTGTTAAATCTCCCAGGGCCTACAAAAGACACAGCCCTGCCGGGTGCACGCAAACATGGAGTAGGAACGACGACTAGGTCTGGCCAATGCTTATAGAACTCGAAAGACAACGCATCTTTCGCACTCCGAACGCTAGGCACAATCATCGCACCCCAGACGCCGCCGTCCCGCCCCGCCCCCCGCTACTGGCTTTTGGTGCGCCTGCGCAGAGACGGGGCGGTGCTTTTCCCTTTGTTGTGGGCCCCAGTTTCCCAGGACACTGCGCGATGCGGGGGTGGGGCTATGCAGATAAGGCACTCGGGGGCGGGGCGGTTGCGGCGACGTCGGCGGCGGCCGGGGAGGGTCAGTTGGAGGCAGGCGCTCGCTGAGGCAGGAGGAGGGCTCTGGGCCCGCGGCCTGTCAGGGACTTAGACCGCAGAGATCGGCTCCGCGCGCGCGCGCGCGACCCCAACCCACCCACTCGTCCACCTACCCACTCCCCGCGCCGCCTTCTCCCACCCTGAGCAGAGCCGCCGAGGATGATAAACACCCAGGACAGGTAACGGCCCGGCCCAGTCTCCCCGCCCCCATCCTCCCTTCATCTGCTCCTGAGGGCCTCCTTCCCCGACTCAGCCGGTCGCCGCCCTCCCGCGGGGCCCCATCCGCCCCTGCTGGGTCCGTTCCCCGCTCCAGCCACCGCAGCGGGAGCTCCAGCCCCGCGAAGCAGCCTCCTTCCGTCCTTTAGGCCCCCCGCCTCCCGCGTCCAGCCCGTCCCATCCCCCTCATCCGGGCCTCCTCCAACATCAGACCCCACAAACCCGGACCCGGCCTTCCCATCGAGTCCGCGTTCCCCGCCGAACGGCTCCCCATACCCCAAACTGAGCTTGCTCCCTCATGCAGGTTCCCCAAATTGTTTCCCATCTTCCCCAAATCTTTTTTCCTACCCCTGGCCCTTCCCTTTGAATCTCTTCCCTAATGCAAACCGCACTCTCCAACAAGACCCCTTTTTCTCCCCGGCCTCATCCTGTCCCCCAGCTCAGGCTCCATCCTTCAGTTTTCGGCTGGACCCATTACGTCCCCTCCCCCTTCTCCCTCTCCTGCTCTCTTCAGGCCTAAGAGCCTTTACAGTGATACCCAGTCCCCCCTCCGTTCCTCCATCCGACTTCATCTTCCTCCTCCCTTTCTCCCTCGACACCCCTTGCTCAGTTAGGTCCCATTTCTCCCGTTTTCCAACTTCATTCCTTTTATTTCTCAAACACTCTGAGCTTGAGTCGTGTCCTCCATCTTATTCCCCCAATGGGTTTCCCCCCAACACACCTACCTTTAAACAAACACCTTCTCACAGCTGGAGCTCCTCTTTACTCTTAGTGCGACCATCTTAACTGAATCCCATCTTAAGACAGATCACAGAACTCAGCCCAGCCAGCTTCTGTTGAAGGCCTAATCTCTCCCCCTGTTTCTCCAGTGCCTTCCAACCAGGCCCCAAACTCAGGACACTGGGCCTTTGTAGATTTACTCCCTGACCCCAGCCTACCCCCATTAATCGGAGAGAAAGGTTCACATCTTTCTGAAACTGAGCCCCAGTGGTTTTCTAAACTTGCATCATATGTACTTCCCCTGCTCAAATTAGGCAGAATTCAGTTTTCCTCTCTCTTCTTCTCCAAGGCAGCCCTTGTTATCCATCTCTCTCTGACATACCCATGTTTCTGCCCCAAACTCTTCTTTGAAACTGTCCCATAATTTACTGATTTCCCCCCAATTTTTAACCCCAGTTGCTTTTTACACGTCAGAAAGGCTTCCGTTTACAAATTGGGTCTAATTCTCTTCCTCATTTTTTCCCTGGACCTGTTGCTGCCCCCTTCAGAATGAGTCTGAAGCTCATTAGTTCCTCACACCGAACCTTTGTCCGCAGATTTAGCGGTATGGCCTCTGCCCCATACTTGGGTCTCATTGTTTTGCAAGCAGATCTGTTCCCTGCAGATCCTCCTTAAAATGTGCCATGCTCTGTCTAAAACCAGACTTCGGTTCGTCTTACAGACGTAGCCTTCCTTACTGCTCTTCCACTCAGGGTTCCTCTCAAACTTGGGCTCCCTTCTCTCTAAAATGGTCTCTAACCTGCCGTCGCCTACTCCTTTAGCAGCGCCACCCTTAAGTATTCCTGCTGGTTTTTCAGCTTTGCTTGTATTTCAGTCTTTCTCAACCCTGGCTGCACATTTGAAAAATCAATCATCTGAGCCCCACCTTCAAAGTTATGGTGTAATCGGCCTTGGGTGGGGCCTGGTTGTTAGTATATATTTTTAAGCTCCCCAAGTAATTCTTTCTAATGTGCGGCCAGGGTTGAGAACACTGTCTCTCTTTTCCTTCCAGAAGACTTTGAGCCATCATATTTTTTTAGTGGGTGTCAGCCCTTTCTCTGCTGAAAAGAGTCTTTTTTTTTCAGGGATTTCTTGGTCTTTCCCAGGTACTATCCAGAAATACCCAAGAAGCCTGCAACAGCCTCTTAAATTCTCCTGCCTTGAGTTGCTCATTTCTCAGCCATTAGCCATTTTCATTCTCTGACTCTTATCTGGCCCCCACACCTCTGCCTGTCCCCTATGTGCAGAAGAGAATTCACTCACTTCATGGTTTGTTAGGGTCCATTTTGACCCATTGCTCCCACCTCTGGAGCCCTCTTTACCTACAGTCTCATTCTGTTATCTTTTCTGGGACTTTCCATGTCCCTCCCTTTGCAGTCCCCTCTTTTATTCTATCTTCTCTACCCCAGCCCGTTGAACTGAGAAGGTGGAGGTGGATATGTACTTGTTGGTGCTGGTTGCAGGTTACTTGTGGTAAAAAATGTGCTCAGGATAAGGCATCAGGTATGAGAGAGGGTGGGGTGAAGTGCAGGGGTGGAGGGAAGCAGAAGCTACAGGAAAACCCACAAGAGGGGTGTGTGAGATGGATTTTCTTTTCTATTATGTTTTTGTCTCCGCAGTGGGGTTTGGAAGGTGGTATAGTCTCAGCAGGCATTCTCTGGAGTTCTCCAGACTGAGCTGATCTAGGTGCCAGATCCTTTGCAAGCTGAGCCTTGAGAGAGTTGATCACTTGAGACCAACACGTAAGGGCCTTTGCTGCCTGAGGTTCTAGAGACCTGAGTTCCAGTTCTGGCTAAGCTGGTGTGCTCTCATTTAAAAGGAGAAGGTTGGGTTCACTTGAAGATTCCTTCTAGCTTCCTAAGTGGCAAAACAGGCTTGCTTGTTTCCAGGGCCCTAGCTTAGAGTGTTGGTAATTCGAGGGGCTTGGCTGCCGGAAAGGCAGGTGGAGGGAGGAGCCAGCAGGCTTGCCAGGGCCTGGGCAGGAGCAAGGCCTGAGATCAGGCTCCTAGCTTTGCCTGGGGGTGGGGCGGTGTGTGCAGGGTGTCTGGTTTCTTTGAGTTAGAGCAATCCTGTTTCCATAGCAGGCTTCCCAGCCTCCTCCAGTCTGCCCCTAACTTTCTGAAAGAAATCCAGGTAGAGCCCTAAGGAGGGATTCCCGTAACAGCCGGATGTTCTTCCCAGTGTTCTTGGTGCTTTGTATCCGCCGAGGGGGAGCTGACTAGGAGTTGAGCTCCCATTGGTGGGGGATGGGCTTTCCCGCTTCCCTGGCTCCAGTGAAATACTCAAGAGGTGGAGGCTTGGTTTCCTGGAAGAAATAGTTGCAGAAGAGCCTACAGTTATACTTTGAAAACAAGGCTCTTCCTTCCCAGTTTTGTTCTGAACAGTACCTCTAAAATGTCAAAATTCCTGATGGTGGGGGAGGGAAGACACAAGTGCAAGCACTTTATTAGTTTTTGAACATGAGGATTAAGTCCAAGGAAATCAAGCGTTGTGGCGTTTCTCCCCCTGGATTTTGCAGAGCAGGAAGACAGTGTTTATCTAGGGCTTGCTTAGTGCCTTGTGACAGTACAGTACGTGTGAAAGAGCTTGCCCTGTCTTCATATCTATATTATAATCAATCTGGCTGATGGGCCTTGAGAAGCATTTGGTTCAAAAGGTGGTGGCTTTTTTGAGGGGGCGGTGGGCGGGGCACAGACAGCACATCAGAGCTACCCTGAGCATCGTCAGTGAGTGGTTCCCTGGGTAAGGAATTTCTGTCTCTCCCCCAAAGAATTTGGTTTTGGTTATTCTTTATTTATTGGCACGATGGCTTTGTTGGGTGTGGGGTTGTAGGAAGAGCAGGTTTACCTACGATGTGTCTTCTCAGGATGGTCAAGGTGGTCCTACAGAGAGGAAGACCCCTAGTATAGTTAGGAATTCCTCCAAATTGGAGGTGAGCTTCAGAGAGCAGTATGGACTAATACTAGTAATTCCTCACTCTTCCAAGAATTTCAAATTTAGCCTCAGAGCTGCTTAGAAGTATTTAAAAAAGGGGATTGAGTGGGGTAAAGGGATGTTACATGTGTGCATTTCTAGAAAAAAAAGAGTAATTCATCCCTTGTTGAAACAGTATGCAGTGTTGATTCAAGTTGGGGGAGGCTGTGAAGCCTAATTGAAAGTTATAGACCAGAAATGGCCAAGTAGGTGAGCAAGAAATTTTGTTACTTGAAGTGAACAAAACAGGTAGTTTCCTGTTAGCAGCAGCAGAATAGAATGTTTTGTATGAGAAAAGTCTTAAGAAAATTTCCTAGGCCTTTGATACTATACAATGAAGCAATTCTATCCTGGGAAGGGAGGCTGGGACTGGTTGATAAGCTTACTACACAAATTAGATCGAGGCACTTAAAATGTAGAACTAAGGTGTCATTTGAAAGCATGGCTATCTAGCTATTCACTCACCTCTGGCAGCGCTTGTGGTTCGCCTGCCCCTGGAGGAAGGTCTACCAGTATCAGCTGTGCAGAAGCAAACCTCAGATACTTAAGCACAGATACTTAAGCTGCCACCATAAGTGTGTTACTTCTTGTGGAGAATCAACCAAAACCCAGTTTTGCTTTCAGTCTGTGATTCAGAGTGGTGATGTCATTTTCTTTATAACTGTGCTTAGCAAGTAGACTCCCTTTGGCACACAGAATAGCCCTAGTGAAATGACTTGTGCCTGGCATCTGACCAAGGCCCCTTTCTCATATGAGAAGGGAACTGGCAGCTGGAAAACAGCCTCTGCAGTCACACTAGACTGGAACTGGCCACCTCCCACCTTTCTTCCTATTTCCTTTTTTTCTTTTCTTTTTTTTTTTGAGAGGGCATCTCTCATATTTATTGATCATATGGTTGTTAACAACAATAAAATTCTGTATAGGGGACTCAATGGACAATCATTAATCAACCCCAAGCCTAATTCTCAACAGTCTCCAATCTTCTGAAGCATAACGAACAAGTTCTTACATGGTGAACAGGTTCTTACATAGTGAATAAGTTCTTACGTGGTGAACAGTGCAAGGGCAGTCATCACAGAAACTTTCTTCCTATTTCTTTTTAGCTAAATTATGGCAGCCCTGGTTTGGTCCCTATCTGCATAAGGGATTAGTAGTCATCAGAGACCATTAAGAGCAGCCTGCATGAGGGAAGTCAGGGCACCCTAGAGAAGTGTTCTGTGAGGCAAGGTGTGAGACAGGAATGGGTCAGTAGCAGCTGAAAGGGAAATGAATGTAGGATGCTTGGGAATGTGGTTTTTATGTCTTTTCACTTGATGCTATGAGGTAGGTAATACCAAGGCCATCTGACTCTCCTCGGACAGGTAATGGAAACTAGAGAGAAAGGGTACAGACTTAAGCAAGCTCAGGCCATGATTCAAGGGAAACATGATCAAAAGTATATCAAGAAGAATATGAATTATAGTATATGTTAGATGTAGCTTAGTAGAATTTAGCCATAGATTTTTATGTCAAATCTGTATGTAGCAGCCTATGTACCCTGTTTTGAGCAGACTAAATATAAAAATCAAAACTGACACAAAGCAAGTAAAGTGATTCTTTAACAGGAGATCCTTTATAATGAGATTTAAGTTTACTTTAAATAGTAAGCACCTTAGAGATTTAAAAATAGGATTTGAATTATAAAAATTTTATTTACCACCAACATTCTCCAGGAATACATCTTCTGCATATACTGCCTGTCAGTAGACCCTGTATGAAATTATAACCTGCTAAAGACATTTCAGACAGCAGTTTCATAGAATGCTTTAAATTAGAGAGGCAGCAGGATGTGATATGTTGATAGCACCCATGTATATTGTGAGGAGTGTTTCCACTGGCAAGTCTGGTAATAAGAAAATAAAGCACTACCAGATCCGCGCTCATCTTCCATCCCGCTTCTGAACTCACTTGGATACCTGACACCCTTATTTCCATCATGGTATATTTTTTTCTTCAAAAACAGGCCCAGCCCAGCTGGATGTTTGGATTCAGTCTGATACATTTGATTCTTCTTCATCAGCCTGATCTTTTCAGGCTCTAGACTGAGCTTCTTAAGTCATCCTTTTGGTGGTAAAGATAAAACCATGCTTGTTCCCTCCCGTGGAGTGGGCAGGATGTGAGGAGGGAATGGAAAAAGCTGAGCTTTGGAGCCATCAAACTGAAGTGAACTGAATATGAAATCTAACCTGGGTTCATCTTGTTACAGGAAGACTTGTGTTTAGAAGCCACTTTCTTTGTGCTTCAGTTTCTCCAGGGATTCACTCTTCACTGTTGAGGCTGGTGGCATATTTTGCCTCAATACCATTTTGAATACTAAAGCCAATACAAGAAGAGAAGGCCATTGCTGGGCAATTTCATGCCCTGTAATTTCTCTTTTTTAAATTAAAGAATAACTGACATACAGTATTGTATTAGTTTCAGGTGCATGGCATAGTGAGTTGACAATTATATACATTATGAAATGGTCACCATAATGTCTAGTTACCATCTGTCACCATACAAAGTTTTTTAAATAGTTTTGACTCTATTCTCTGTTCATTCCAAACCCTTTTGTAGGGTGGTAGGGAGGGCCACTTTTCCTACGATGTGGCTTCATCCCAGAGAGACTCCTAGTATAGCTAAGAATTCCGTATTAAAATTATGTTAGGTGTAGCTTAATGGAAGTTAGCCACAGAATTAACATGTATAACCTAACATTTAAAATTATAACTGGAAGATTGTATCTCTTAACTCCTTTCACCTCTTTTTCATCCATCACCTGACCCCTTCCGTGGCAACCACCAGATTCTTCTCTGTTGTCTCTTGTCTGTTTTTTTTTCTTCTTAGATTCCACATATAAGTGAAATCACATGGTGTTTGTCTTTCTCTGTTTGATTTATTTCACTTACTATCTAGATCCATCCACACTGTTGAACATGGCAAGATCTCATTCTTTATGGCTAATACACACATCTTTATTCATTCATCAATGGACACTTAGGTTGCTTCCCTATCTTGGCTGTTGTAAATAATGCTGGGGTGGACATAAGGGTGCATGTGTCTTTTCAAATTAGTGTTTTTGTTTTCTTAAGATAAATACCTAAACGGGAATTACTGGATCATTTGGTAGTTCTATTTTTAATTTTTTGAGGCACCTCCATACAGTTTTCCATAGTGGCTACATCAATTTACATTCCCAACAGTGCACAGAGGTTCCCTCTTCTTCACATCCTCGCCAACACTTATTTATTGTCTTTTTGGTAGTAATCAGTCTGACAGGTGTGAAGTGGTGTCTCAGTGTGGTTTTGATTGGTACTGTTTGATTATCCCTTATGATGTTATATGAAGCATCTTTTCATGTGTCTCACAGCCGTCTGTCCCTTTTTGGAAAAATGTTCAGGTCCTCTGCTTTTTAACTGGATTGTTTGGTTTTGTGATATTAAGTTGTATGACTTCTTCATATATTTTGGATGTTACCCCTTAATGGCTTTATCACTTGTGAATATCTGCTCCCATTCAGTAGGTTGCCTTTTCTCTTTGTTGATGGTTTCTTTTGCTGTGCAGAAGTTTTTTAGTTTGATGTCCCATTTGTTTAATTTTGTCCTAGCCTTAAGAGATAGATCCAAAAAAATACTGCTAAGACCAATGCAGAGGAGTTTACTGCCTATTTTCTTTAGGAGTTTTATGGCTTATATTTAAGTCTTTAATTCATTTTGAGTTTATTTTTGTATATGGTGTAAAAGTAGTCTAGTTCGTTCTTTTGCATTTATCTGTCCAGTTGTCCCAACACGATTTTTTGAAGAGACTGTCTTTTTCCCATTGTATATTGCCTCTTTGTCTATATTAATTGACCATATAATATGTGTGGGTTTATTTCTGGGTTCCCTGTTCTGTTCCATTGATCTTTGTGTCTGTTTTTGTGCCAGTACCACACTGATTTAATTACTGTAGCTTGTAGTATGGTTTGAAGTCAGGGAGCATGATACCTTGAGATTGCTTGGGCTATTTTTGGGTATTTTGTGATCCCATACAAAATTTAAGATTGTTTCTCTAGTTCTGTGAAAACTGCCATTGATACTTTGAATAGGGATTGCATTGAATATGCAGATTGCTTTGGGTAGTTTGGATATTAACTTTAACAATATTAATTCTTCCAATCCACAAGCACAGTCTGTCTTTTCATTTATTTGTGTCTTTTTCAGTTTCTTTCATCAGTGTCTCATAGATTCCAGAGTGTAGGTCTTTCACCTTCTAGGTTAAATTATTCCTAGGTATTTTATTCTTTTTGATGCAATTATAAATGGGATTGTTTTATTATTTTTTCCTCTAATAACTCATTATTAGTGTATAGAAACACAACAGATTTCTGTATAATTGATTTTGTATTCTGCAACTTTACTGAATCTGTTTAATAGTGTCAGTAGTTTTTGATGGCAGCTTTAGGCTTTTCTCTAGTATGTCACCTGCAAATAGTGACAGTTTTACTCCTCAATTTGGGTACCTTTTATTTCTTTTTCTTGCCAAATTTCTGTTCATGCCCCTTCATTTCTTTAATCACCACCTAAGTCACCTATCTCCCTTACCTTCTCGTTTCAGAAATGAGTCAGGTTTATTGGAAGAGAAGCAATTTGCCATTCACAGCAAGTAACTAAAACAGATCCATTATGATGGAGGATGAAGATAATTATTGATTGTGATCTACTATGTACTAAGCTTATCACAAATCCCAGCTGTTTCTCTTAGGGAAATGGAGCTGAGTTCCCAGGGTGGGGACCTGAAACACTCTCCCACCCCTACTCACACATACACTTGCCTTCTCCTGCAGACTCTGTGGGGGAGGAGGAGAAGAGTTTCCAGGACCTCCTGTGTGAGACTGGGGAAGTAAATGATTTGTGACCATAGCATAGACTTTTTGCATTTATTTGAAGAGGAAGGAGATGAGGATACCAGAAATATCAAGAGCTCATAGATTAGTGCTGCACACAGAGCAGGCCCTAGGGATTATTCCTAAGAAGACTAAGGGGATTCTGGATCTAAAAATAAGAAAACCCACCTTGTTCTGATCTTCTGAGTGGGTTGGCTCCATTGCTTTTGCCATTTGCAAGTAAAAATAAGCTCAGAATAAAGATGATGGTTGGACTGCAGATGAAGGCTGAATGTAGCTCTCTTTTGTAAAGACCGTTGAGTAATTTATCTGAAGTAGGAGTCTGAAGTTTAGTGAATTGGCAACAGGATTCTAGAACTGTGAGGGCCTTGGTGATCTGGTTGTTTTGTGAACCCATGCAATTTTTATGGTACATAGGTCACACCTCATCTGTCAACTCTAGAGGAGGTTTGCCCAGTCCTTGAGTAGCCACTGTCCAATGCAAGGAAGCCAGCTTTCTCCAGTGGCCCAGCGTCCCTGGTGTGCCTGCAGCCACCTCAGCAGAGGCCTGAAGTGGTCACTAGGGAATGGGAAGGGAACGGTATCATTTAGGTGTGTGTATCTTTGCTTGGGGAAACTCCCACACTTATTCTTTCCAGCCTAGACACTCTACTGTTCTATCCTTTAATATGTTGGAAGAGGTAATTACAACAGCTTATTGCCCCAGTAGAAAGAAAGTTCCATCCTCCATCTTGCCCCTTCTGCTAGTAGTTGTTGGTGAGGCCAAGAGTGAGGGAGATGAGGATGCCCTGAGGCTTACCAGAGGGGGCAGGAGGTGGCTATTGCTCCCAGGTGTTCAGGCCACTCCAGGCCTGCTGACACTGCCCTGGGCACTCTCATCTCCCAGTGAAATTTCTAAGTGTGAATTCAGGCCCCCGGCTGAAATCTGTGAGGGAAGCTAAGCTAGAGCAGTGATGGCTTTGGACTCCCTGTCTCAGCTGAATGGCTCATACAGGTCTCTTAGTAGTGGGCGTCTTAGTGGGCTGTCCCTTTGGTTACTGTACCATTGCCAGGTTAGGCGTGAGGGCAGTTCTGTCACTCTGAGCCTAAGTGAAGAACGCAAATCTGGCATGCTATGCCATGTAAAGCAAAGGATAGTGAGAAAAATGGTGCCTTGCATCATTTTACAACTGGTTTTCAGGAAGAAAAAAAAAGCCTAGATATATATATATATATATCATTTGATGATTTTTGTCATATAAATATGTACCCCTCTCCCCAGTTCAAGCTACCAACATTATATCATTAAATGCATAGTTGGGAAGAAATGTGCAGTCGTGGGAGCTGGTCCAGCACACCCTTGAAATACCCTCCCGTACATGTTAACTGCTGTGTTCCAGCTGCCCTGAGGCTGGTGTGTTAACGGGGCCGTGGGATGGGCCTATTGCCGAGTCATGGTGTACATGCACAGTTAGTTTACCCCTTGCCCTGCTTCACTTGCCCTTGACCTGGAGTGTGAGCTACATCTCAGTCTTAGGAGCCTCTAAATCGGATTCAAAGAGGGCAGTGGGGCAGATTTGCAGCCCTATTTGGGTGTGCCTAAAAATCGTGTGGCATTAAGGGTACACACTAGGAGGTGTCAGGGAGCTCCTTTAGGGGCCTTCAGATCCATCTGATTACTGGCTTCTTACGTCCCAGCATGTATACCTTCTGCCAGCAGCAGCCCACTACCAACACACATGCACTTGAGTGTCCATTCTGACTGCATCAGTAGTACCTCAACTCCCCTGCCCAGGTCAAATTCTAGCAAGGAAGGGCGCATCAGTGGCACACCAAGGACAGATTCAGAGACAATAATATTCTTTACTGTACTGCACCTCCCGTCTGGGAGCCAGATCCCTGGATTTAATTCAGTTCTTTATCCTAAAGAGATTTGGATAAGTGATATCTTGTCCAGTTTCGTTTAGATTGGGGAGGAGGCCATCATTGGAAAAGTGGCCCTGGGAGTTGCTCAGGGACAGGGTACCCAACCCACATGACTTCCTGAGGCCCATATGCCTCCCAGCCTGAAGTGATTGTATAGGCTTTGTGATTCTGCCACGTAGTTGTTGAGGCACTGCTTGGGTAAGGAAAGGGGCTGGTTGGGGGTTCAGGGCTGTAGGCCTCCCAGGCAAGCCAGGATCTGTCCTCTGGTCAGACAGACCCAGCTGGACTTCTTTAGCCTTTCTGGGGCTCCCTGTGCCTCCTCAGGATGGTGGGTCCCCACCCTTTAAGAGAGCAGAGGTACTGGAAGCTGAAAGGACTGAGCAGTGGGGTAGCTTTAGAGCATGTGGTGACGGACAGCCAGGGCAGGTTTGGGGTGGGACGTTGACTTAAGTCAGCTAGTCTTGGTGTTTACTGTCTCACCTTCTTTCTCTCTCCTGCAGTAGTATTTTGCCTTTGAGTAACTGTCCCCAGCTCCAGTGCTGCAGGCACATTGTTCCGGGGCCTCTGTGGTGCTCCTGATGCCCCTCACCCACTGTCGAAGATCCCCGGTGGGCGAGGGGGCGGCAGGGATCCTTCTCTCTCAGCTCTAATATATCAGGTAAGGCTCTGGGGCCGAAGGCTAGGAGCAGAGCCTCCCCACACTCCACTGAGCTCTGCTTAAGGGCAATAAAATCACTTGCTTTAGTTTTCTCCAAGGCCGAGCCAGTAGGGGAATTGGGAAGGACTCGCAACTGAGGCTGCTGTGTGGCTTTTGGGGAGGATCAGCACCAGGCAAACACCCTGCCATCTCCTCAGCTTGGTGCTTAGCACCCAGTGCCTGTTCAGGGTCCTGAGTGGGAGGGAATATCGTACATAGGAGTGTGAGAACTCTTCCTGGTGCCACACCTCAGTTTCTCTTGAGAAATACCAAGGGCCAGCAGGAGCAGTTTTCCCATTGTCCTTGACCATTGGACATCCTGGCTTCTGTCCCTCACCAGCTAGACAGGGGTTGGGGGGTGCACAGTCATGATCAGGTGGGCAGTTAAGGGGAGGAGGCCTTGCATCTGCATCACTTGTTACCCTGGCTGCATAAGGCACAGCCCAGGAACTTTAGAGAATGCTGGGAATCTGCCCAGAGAGTGATCTGGGCTGGGGCAGCCAGCCCTTTGCTGCCTTTTAATCTCCTGTGATTGAGACCCAGACATTGGTTTAGCTTTTCCCTAAGACTGATATTGAATGAAGGGTAGCAGGGTGGCTAAGTTCTGGTATCTCAAGACTATGCCTAGGGGAGACAGCATGGACCCTGCAGTCCATCTGGAAGCAGGCTTTGATTGGGGCCCCAGCTAAGCTCACACACACTGCCTCAGAGGGAAGGGAAAGAGCATGGTGGTGGAGGGACAAGAGTGGCTTTGAGTCAGGGAGACCTGGTTTGAATCTCAACCCTGCCACTTACTAGCTGTGGAGCCTTGGGCCAGTTGCTTAATTAATCGGGGCCCCTAGCATCTCAGATTTAAAATGGGGATATTAATGCCTACCTCAAATGCCTGTGGTGGTGACTGAAAAATGGGAAAGCACCTTGCACAGAACTTGGCATCTAGTGGACACTTGGTAGATGTTTCCCTTCCCGTCATGCTGGCTCTTACTCTGTCCACTGGTCTCAGTGCCCGATGAGTGATGGCTCAGTTTAGCACACAGCTCTGCATCTTCAGCATGCCCTCTGTCCCATGCTACCCTGAGACTGGCCTGAGGGGACTTGCAGCAAGCACCCGCTAGGTTAGGGAGCCTGTGCTGTGGCCAGAAGCAGTGGTGACCTGGTCCTCTGCTCTGATCTGACCTCCCAGGACGAGAAGCTCACTGTGACCCAGGACCTCCCTGTGAATGATGGAAAACCTCACATCATCCACTTCCAGTATAAGGTCACCGAGGTGAAGGTCTCTTCCTGGGATGCAGTCCTGTCCAGCGAGAGCCTCTTTGTAGAAATCCCAGATGGATTATTAGCTGATGGGAGCAAAGAAGGGTAAGGAGCAAGTGCTGGGTGGGGAAGGAGCAATCGGGAAGGGGCTCCTCCTCGGAGAAGGGAGTGTGCTTGCTGGGGATGACAGCTGAATAGGGAGTCTCCTCCCCTGGCTCTAGGCTTCCCAAGAACATACCATTTTGTAATAGATTATTTTTAGCCTGTGAAACAGGCCTGCTCTAGCTTAGAATTAAAGCAGATTATTAGCACATTAACCAAATCCATTCCTTAATCGCCTCATGGTTCACTCTTCTTAGCAGATGTTATATCCCCCTTGAGCCACTGTACAACGGTCCAGTTTAAAAGGCCAGGAAGCTCAGAGAGCTGGGGGATTTTGTTGGATTGGGCAAGGCCCCGTAAGCAGCCAGGTGTGTAAGCAGCAGTCCTGAAGGTGGAGTTCTCCTGAGTGGCTCTAACCTCTTGAGGAAATCCTTTTAGGCAGCGCTAGGCCCAGAGTCCCTCTCAGTGGCAGGTGGACATTATCAAAACTGGCAGCTTTGGAAGACCCCTGACAAACTGGTTCTCTTCCCAGGTCCCACACTGTCTTGTGAACTACATTGGTAAAGTTGGTTAGTGTTAATTTCAGATAAAGAGCCCCTATTCCAGGAAGAGATCAGTAACATTCTTCTTTGGGATTTTGTCTTATTTTTTTCTGAATTTATTAAGGTTTCCTGTTGTCTTTAGACAGGAACCTTCTCCTTGGAGCTTCTCTATTTATAATGCTGGCTATAAGCCTCAGAAAAACCTTTTGGGGGATGGGTGGGAAGTCTGAAGAGGTGATAGTGGTCCTGAGTCGTTTTCTTTGCTGCTTGCAGATTGTTGGCACTGCTAGAGTTTGCTGAAGAGAAGATGAAAGTGAACTATGTCTTCATCTGCTTCAGGAAGGGCCGGGAAGATAGAGGTGAGGAGTCAGAGCAGCCTGCGATCTACTGCCCAGACTCTGGGCACTGGGGAGGGAGGGGTGGGCCACTGTACAGTGGCATGGGAATGCCCAAGAGGCCTTTACTAAAGACCTGGTGCTTGCTTATTGCATTTTTCTTTGGGTTTTTCTCCCGATTTGAGCCTACCCTCATGTTTCTTATCAGAATTGTTTTCACACTCTTATCTTTTGCAGCTCCGCTCCTGAAGACCTTCAGCTTCTTGGGCTTTGAGATTGTGCGTCCAGGCCATCCCTGTGTCCCCTCTCGGCCAGATGTGATGTTTATGGTTTATCCCCTGGACCAGAACTTGTCCGATGAGGACTAATGGTCATAGAGGATGCTTTGCCCAAGAGCCACAGTAGGGGAAGAGGGGAAGTTAGGCAGCCCTGGGACAGAGAAAGGGGCTCCTTGCTGTCTGGGGAAGGACGCTGAGGGCCTCAGGGTGAGGGTTGCCTACTGTGTTCAATTGTTTTCCATAAAGAACAGTATAAACATATTATTCACATGTAATCACCAATAGTAAATGAAGATGTTTATGAACTGGCATTAGAAGCTTTTTAAACTGCTCTGTGTGATGTGCTCTATCTAGCCTAGGGGAGGACATTGCCTAGAGGGGGAGGGACTGTGGGTCCAGGGGCAAGGCCTGGAGGGCTGGTGGGCAGCACTGTCAGGTTCAGGTTCCCCTGCTGTTGGGCTTTCCATTCTGTTTTTTAAGACTTCTGCATTTTCTTTCCTTGTTTCCTGTTACCCCAGGGGCTCCGGAGTATAGGCTTTTCAGCCCCTGGGCAGTGTCTTTGAGTTGTTTTTGCCACTCCACCTGGGCTCCTCTGTGTGTGCATTTGTGTCTGGCCTGGAGAAAGCAGGTCTGACCCCTCCTTCTTTACAGCTTAGTGTTATTCTGGCATTTGGTTAAACTGGCTTAATCTGTTTAATGTTATCAATGCATTTTAAATAGGGGCATTGAAGTTCATTCCCACCACCAGGGCTTTTTTTTGGGGTGCCTGGGCCTAAAGAAAACACTAGCCAAACTAGCCAAATCATAGCCAGGAGTGCTTGTTGCTCTTGGCTGTAGGCCCAGGTCCCAAGTTGTCTCCTTCCTAGGGTCATAAAGAGCAGAGAGGAAGAGGAATAGCAACTCAGGGCCTGGGGGTTGTGGGGAGAATCTGTTCTTAGGGGCTGGATGCCTCTGCCTGGCTGTGTATAGTGCCGACTGTCCCTCTTCCCTCTCTGCAGGTTCTGAGTAGTGCCTGAGCCCCTACTCCACGGGGCAGAGGGTGGGACTGCGGGTGTGGAAGTGGCCTGCCCTTTTCTGTTTCCACGGAACAGCTTGTTCTGAGGGGGGAAGAGATCTAGATTGGGTGAGGGGGTGGGGGTGTTAGGGAGGCAAGTGTGTTGTGTTAACTGTGTCAATAAACTGATTTAAAGTTGTGGTGGGCCTGTTCTGCATTCCTGTACTGGGACCAGCTTCCTACCACTACTGTCTTTTGAGTTGAGAGCCAAGCCTATTAGTAGGGGGTATGAGACATGCTTCTCAGGAAAAAAAAGCTGCAGTGCATCAGGATAGAGAAACTGGTCCAGGCCTCTGGGGACACAATACATTGTAAAACTCAGGGTTGCTTGGAGTCTGGGACACACTGCCAGAGCCCCCTAGAGAGACAGGTGTGTACACATCAGCTTCATCCAGATTAGAGGTCACCACCAGGATCTAAGCCCTTGGTGCTTCCTTTTGGAGAGAGGTGGTTCCTGGAAATGGGTGTTGGCTTTTGCAAGGAGCTGTCTGATATTCACATCCCTGCAAGTGTTTGAAGGAAGCATCATGTACCTTCCATAGGAAGATCATTTTCTTCTTCAGTTCCCTAAGGTATGGCTGCCATTCCCCTTGCACCACCAGCCTGATGAATAAGGTCTCAGTGGCACTGTAGAGGGCTAGAATCCTCTGTAATGTTTCAAGGGCCTGCGAGCATTTTTTTCCTTTTGCTTCTGTTTTCCCAAGTGAAGTTCTTCCACCTCCTACGCGTAGCTTTGGAACTATCTGCTGTTGAGTTGTGACGGAGTCTTTGGCCCATTTTCGCACTGTTCTGTGTGGAGTGTATTTGTGTTTTCATGCTAGGTCAAGTCGTCATTAACCCTGGACTCCACACCTGGCGTTCATTAAAAGAAGTGAGCTCAACACTTCCACCTCCCATATCATTTGTAGATGGTCTGGGCTTACAGATATTCAACTGAAATAAGGGCTTGAAGATGTCCTCCACTCTCCACTGAGCATACAACCCCTAGAGGCAGCATAAAGGCACTGACTGAAAAATCATCAAAGAAAGATTTTACAGCAGAGATCCATACGAATGCTGACAATGGCCAAGTTAATGTAGCCAGTTTAGGATTCAGATGTTAAGGAATCTACAAGACAGGGATAAAGAATCAAGACTAAGCTCAGTCCTTTTTGCGTCTCCCAAGCTAGTGGAGTGGATAGGAAACATGATTCTGCTGCCAAAAGCTGGTGGACCCTCTTCAATACCGCCAGAGGTAAGGGCTGACCTGGAAACCCAGGCACCTGGATGGATTTCCCTTTCAAAAAGAAAAACTTGCTAGGTAAAACCACCGATAGGAAGGAAATACAGTACATAAAAGCTGCACTACGATTAAAAAAGCAATCATAGGTGGAATGTTTTGGGGGGTGGTGGTGTGGGATGAGGGAAATGTGAAAGGCAAACTAAGTCTAAATTTAAGAACAGGGACATTAAAAACTTTATTCAATAAATACAACAAATAATTTAAAAATATACTTCAATTCCAAAGCCAATTAAGAAAAGGAAGGAGAAAGGGGAAAAAACAGGGAGGAGGAAATCAGAGGAAAAGGAGAAAAGTTCCAGAGGCAGAACAAAGTTCTTCCGCTGTGTTTCCGAATGTACCCACCACCCTTCGAAATTCCTATCGAATGCTCTTGACCCATAAACCCTTAGCCCTTGTTCTGATGGGGCAGCCGTGGGAGTCCACAAGCCAGGAACGAGTCTCTGGACTCTGGACCAGAGCACGCTGCGCTGGAATCTAGGGCACTGTTTCCCACTCATTCCTTTGTAACTCCCAGGCAGGCTCAAGTAGTGCAAACTCTCAGGCAGAGAGCTCCCAGCTGCATAGTTTCACAGGTGAGTGTCCAAAGCCAGAGCCTCTGGGGACAGGTTCCAGAGCACCCAGGGGTCCAAAGCCACTTCGGTGAACGGATCTAAGTGGGGAAGACAGGAGGGGGGCCACGGCACGGGATAAAGTTCCCGGGTAAGCCAGTGCCCATGCTGGAAAACACTGGGCAGGAAAGGGCTGCAGGGCAGGTGGTCTGGACACTGGATTCAGCAGCTTGCCATCAGCCAAGGGAGGTGGAGCTGAGGATGCATATGGAGCAGGACCAGGAAGGTCAGGAAAACTAGGAAAATGGAAAAGGGAGGAAGGAGGAGGCAGCTCAGCAGCAAACTCCAGGAGAAATAACCAGCAGCCCTCACAGATTTGTGATTGTCTCTTAAAAAGATTTATTTTCCCTTCTTGCCTGAATGTACAAAGGCAAAAAGAGTACAGTTTGTATATATATATATTTATATATATATATAAAAAAACAAGGAACTTGGTAATGTACACTTTACAGAAGGGAAGAATCAGGAAGACTGAAATTAAATCCAACAGCAACGCTAATGGAACCAAAGCTGTGAACAGCAACACTGCCCCTCCAGCCCGGGCCTCCAGCTCGCCCCAACCTGCTCCCAATGGGGGGCTGAGCACCAAGGCAAGCGGGTGGGCTGGGGCAGGAGGGGCTGGGGACGGGGCCTGGGAGAGGCTCAATCCTAGGAGGGGCCCATGGAAGAGGATCATCAGAAAGCTTCCTGGGAAGCCCTAAAATAAATGATAGGCCCAGACTTAGCGGGGCCTAGAACTAGCTGCCCAGTTGAATTGGGGTGGGGGGGGGGACATCAGAGTAGACACTGGGACAGTGACAGGGTATGTGGCATAAGTGACATGGGTGACTTCAAAGCCCTCTAGCCCTTCTGCCTTACCCTCCCACTCCCAAGGCCAAGCCTTCTCATCCCCACCTTGGAGCCTGAAGAGAGAAGATCCAAGAGCTACCAGTTCATTTCATGGGGTGCCCTCTTAACCCTTCTGCTTGTGACCCTTTGACCTTGAGATGGGAGGGTGAGGTAAGAAGGAAATTCATACATGTACACGTGCACGTACAGGCAGGGAGGAGATGGAGGGAACTGGCACACCTTCAATGAGGAAGCAGCAGATGTGAATCCTAAAGAGCAGTCCCCAAGCCTGGACGTCCCACGTGGGGATGAGGCTCTGCCCTTCTAGCTTCTCTGTAGGGAGCCCCTGAGGGAGGTCTACAGAGAGGCCTGGGCAGGGGTGTCTCAGAGAGGGCCTTGGTCTGGCGGTCTGGGCCCTTGGCAGCAGTTCCCCAGCTTCTGCTCACAGGGTGGGAAGCCTCGCTTGGTGTCTCGCCCTCTAACCAGGTGATGGGTGCCGCAGGGGCCCTCACCTGTGCTGCTTCCCCCCCATGTACAGGCTAGGGGTGGACAGTAAATCCTCCACTCAGCACTTGTTGAGGAGCTCTCTTTCCTCTATGCTGCTGCTGCTGCACGTTATTTCAGGGAGAGAAGATTGGACCTGGCAAGGACGGGACCAGAAGGATCAGGGTAAAGGCTGTGCCCTTCTGCCACTGTTGCTTTCACCTATTCTTCTGGGCAGCTCAGCTCCTGCTCTTCAGTGGAGACTTGGATATAAGGATCATAGAGCCAAATGTTAAAGAAAAAAAGAGAAAAGAAAAAGCTGTTCCCTTCAGCAGAACCCAAGGCTGCCCTGCTAATGCAGAAGTTACTCTTCTCTGTGTTAAAGAACAAAGGGGCAGGGGCAGGAATGCAGGGCCATCTATGCCTGCCCAGTGGGAAAGAAAATTACTCCAACAGTTTCTTTACAGTATGTACAGAGCACGCTGTAAGCCAGCGCCACAGATACAAAACACACAACAATCTAATTTAAAAACAAACAAGAACAAATGGGCCCTTAGCTAAACCCCACAGGAGCCTGGGAGGGCATAATCAGGCTGAAATTCAGAGTCATCCTCAGTGGGGTGGATGTGTCCACACTAACTACTTCCATGGATGAAAGGGAAGCCACTGCTTATAGCACTGCCCCTGGGGCAACAGGAGGCAGAGGGAATGATGGGGGAAAGGGAGGCTGCTTGGGAGGCTGGCTAAGAGGTCTAAACGGGTTTGGGGGAGGGCTCAGAACCCAACTTGAACAAAATCAAGGAAATGGAAACCTAGAGGAAAGGTCTATGGATCAAAGGGGCTCCTCTTGGGTGAATGACCCTAACCCTCTCCAGCAGGTCTCCGGGGACCCTGGAAAGCAGTCTCTGCTGGGCATTGTGCTTAACTGCTCTCCACCTCTGTGCCCCCAACGGAGTCAGAGCCGTGGCCCTGCTCTTAGGTTGTCACTCGGCACTCTAGTCACAAACACCCTTCTCTAGCCTAGGTTAGTCTTTCTCTCTCAGTCCAGAAGGTCAAGGAAAGATAGCAGGGAGAACTAAAGGATGACACTCAGAGCAAACTAAGAGCTAAAGCTCCCCACACCTTGGGAAAGAAGTGACTCCAATAAAGCTACCAAATTATTGTCACTACCCAGGGCAAAGTGCGTACAGCCTGGACCAGGTGCCTGGATTTCTTAGGAGAGCAGAGAAATGTCTGCTGCCTCCAAGCACAGCTCCACTGGGTACTGCATGGCTCTGAGGAGTAATGGCTTGGCTGTGTTATCCCAGGGTCTAAGGAACACATAACCTCCCACTCTCAGTGGCCCCTAAAATAATAACGTGTCTTACAAAGAAAACACGGCTTATATTGGCACACACTGGGTTCTAGATTGAGCTATATAAAATCATGTACTTGTATATAGAGGAAAGGACTGTATTTATTTGTGGCCCTACATGAGGAGGAAACTCAGATGGCTGCATGAACAGGACATCTCTAAGAACTGCTGGGTGCTCCCAGGGCCTGCCCCCGGAGCCTTGCCCTAAGGTGATCTGGCAGACTCCCAAGCTCCCCATGTGGTGAGGAATACTATTTTACCTGCCTGAGTCTTAAGAGCCAAGCAATGGAAAGAGGAGAGAGAGCATGGGGAGCCCCCTGGAAAAGGCACCAAGGGGTCAGGAGAAAGGAGAGAAAGGGCAAGGAGTTGGGGGCTAGGAAGCTGCAGGACTTGGCGGGGGTGCAGGTCCTATTTCACAGACTCCATCATGCTCCAGCTCCAGCTCACTCCCAGTGTCCCCAGGGAGCCCCGTGCTGGTGCTGGGATCCCAGCCCTCTGCCTGACAAGTCGCCCAAGGCCATGGTGGGGCAAATGCCTTGGTCTTCCTTTCCAGGCGAGGTTCTGAGCATTCGTATGTGCTCATGTGAGAGGGGATAAGTCTTCACATTTGAAGACCTTGTTTTCACAATTACAGAGAAAACAGCTCCCAATTTCTTTCCTGAGATTCTAATTCCTCCACATGCTGCCAGTTCCCAGGGCCCAAACCACTGGGGAGATGCAGGATCTTGTAATGATGGTAATGACGGTGAGAGGGGTATGGCTGCTGTGCTGTCTTCAGATCTCACCCAGTGCTTAGGGAGTCCCTCCCTTGGAGGGGGGGTTGTACCGCTCTGGCAGCTAGCCAGGGAGCTTGGGGAGCAGAGCAGGACTTCTCTGGGCTGAGGCCATGTTCCCCTGGTTGCTCCCCGTGCCTTCATCTCCACAGAGGCCACAATAGGCACAACTGTGGCTGAGAGAATAAATATTTTTGCTAATTATCAGCTCTCCAGCTCCTGAGGAAGAGGGAGGGTTGGGGAGTCCGGGGGTCTGGTGGAGGCGAGATAGCCAAAGGTCTGCCTTCAGTGACGGTGGGAATGGCAAACAGGATGATCAACACCATTTAACTGATGTATAAATGGCATCTCCAGCACCTCCATGGGTGAGCCAGTCCGGGCCCGTGAAGCTGACTTTATCCGGGCACTTGGTGTTCTGCAAGGGAAACACGGATAGATAACCAGGCACTCAGCCAGCTGGTGTAACAACCACACGGTGGCGCTCCAAGAGAAGGAACTGCAGGGGAGGCTGATACTGAGCCCTGGGGGACCCAAGTGTTCCACAGCTTCTCTTAGAGGTACATGCTTCATGGGAGACTTACACAGAAGGCTTGGCAAGGGGTCCACTGTCTCCAGACCACTGACCCCATAAAGCTTTCCCTCACTGATGCTTCACAGGGATTCTGTGATCAGGTGTCAGCTATCCCTGCTCTGTATGTTGCCCCCCAAAAAAGTTACTTACCATTCTCACCTCCGAGGGGGTGGGTAGAGTGAGGGAGTTGAGCCTTGCTGGCTGGCAACAATGGCTGTAGAAGAAAGCCCTGAGGAGGAGGAGGACATGTTAGTGCAGCACTTCCAGAATCCTCTGTTGAGCACTTTTTCTTTATCAGCTGGGTGGGTACTGGGAGGAACATCATCTTAAATTCCTAGCCCCACTAAGTTCTGGGGCATTGACAGAAAAAAATCTGCCACTTGCCCAACATAGTGGCTGGGGGTAGACAGCGAGGTTCTATTTTACAGCTTGTTTTCTTTTTGGCTGCAGGAACACCTGTTCCTTATTCTTCTGAACACCAAAGCCAATTTTCTAGAGGAGTTTGAGAGCCCCCAAGTTCCAAGGGAGGAAATAAATGCCATATGCTTTAATGACTGAAGGAGGCTAGGATTCTGGACAGACTAGCAGCTCAAAAAAAAAAAAAAAAGGATTCTTGCCAGGGACCCCTTGATAAAGGCAATGCTACTGGGATGGAGTAAAAAAGACAGGAAGCGGGAAAGAGGCTTACCTGCTGCATAGGGTAAGCTGTACTGTGCTGGGAGCAGCGAGTACCCCAAGTGGTGGTGGTGGTGGTGTGCGGACACCAGGCGCTGGGAAGGGGAGGTGCGGGGCCGGTCTACACTCCTTTCAGCCCCGCCTGCTCCCCCGACGCTGCTGCAGCTGCCACCTCCCCCAACCACCCCACAGCCTCCCCGATCTCTCTCCTGAGAAGTTTTATCACTTATCTGGAAAGGAAAGTAGACAAAAAGGCACTATTGTGAGACATACACAAGAGCAAGATGCTGGTAGCCCATTCTGACTCATTAAAAAAGCAGGACACCTGAGAATCAAGGGGGTGCCTGGTGGGGCCAATGCCAAGTCAGCCAGCTGCACTGTTGTTAGGACCTGGACCTGCCCGCCTCCTCCCGGCCCCCGGAGCTGGCCGGCCGGTCCCTGCTAACAGCCAGCGGCACTGTATTCTCTTACCGTGGGAGACTTGCTCTTGTAGTGACTGGCATGCTGCTGCAGGATGTCTAGGGCTTTGGACTCTGAGCTGGATTTACAACTGATACTGGGGCTGGCGCGAGCCTTGTCGGCATCTTCACCCCCCGAGACCTTGCTGCCATATGGGGAAAAAGAGTAGCTGGAGGGCAGGTAGGAACCTGGGGAGGAAGAAATAAAGCCGTCAGAGAGGTGCAAGTGTAGCAACTCCCATGTGGTAAAACTGCCTTATAAGCCTGGTTCCCTGGGCATTAGCTTTCCTAGGCAAAGGCTGTTTTCTACTGTGGCATTTTTGGGCTGAGACTGTTAGTTTGTCCTTTCTTTACTGAGCTCCAGAGGTGAAACTAGCTAAGGGACAGTAGGAAACATGGCCCTCAGTTTCTGGGGAATCAATTTCCCGAGAGCCCCAGTCTCAGAGATTCATCTTGGAGAGGTATTTGGTAAAGTAGACAGATCAGAGGATTTGGAATCAGAAGGCCTTGGGCTCAGATCCTACGGCTGGGAGTTACCAGCTGGGGAACCCTGAGCAAAGTAACATTTTTGAGCTTCAGTTTCTTCACCATCAAAATGAAGATACTAATACTTATTTCACAAGGTGACGGGGAGGATTAAGTAAAATAATTAAAGTAACATTTTTGAGCTTCAGTTTCTTCACCATCAAAATGAAGATACTAATACTTATTTCACAAGGTGACGGGGAGGATTAAGTAAAATAATGTACATAAATCACCTGGTATACCTGTCTGGCCCTAAGTAGACACTTATCAAATTGAGCTATTGTTTTTATATAGATGGATGAGGGTGATAAGAAGAAAAGCATACCACAGGCTGGCTCCTTTCTCTGCTTGAAAAGTGTACGCCTGCCCTCACCTAGAAAGGGCTGCCATCTACCTGAGCGTCACAACAAAGCCTTAGGGCTGAGCAAGATTAAATCTGGATCTGAGACCTGGGCCTCATTTCCCATCCCAGCTAATGGAAGGGCAGCCAGCCCAAGGTGCTGTACCTGGGTAGTTCTGCATCATCACAGCAGGCATGCCCCGGTAGCTGGGATGGCTGGGGTCATAGGACTGGCTGTAGGAGTAGCCATGCATGTAGGGGATGTAGGACTGGTGCTGGGTGAGGGGCGAGGACACAGGCACGTGGACACTTGGTCTGGGCTCCTTGTTCCCCAGGCGGGACTCCTCAGACGTGGACAGCTTGCAGTCACTACTTGTGCTTTCCTTCCCGTCCTCCTTGGGGACAGAGTCCTTACTCCGACTCCGTTCCTCCTTCAATTTGCGGTCCCGTTCCTCTTTCCACCGCTCATCTTCTGACTTGATGTCTGAGTACTTGGCAGGATAAACATATGTCCACATCCGGGGCTCTGCTTCCTGCAAAAATCAGAATGAGCGCTGAGTGTTGTACAGGTTAAGAGAGAGAGTGGTTTCAAGCCCTAGGTCCCAGTGGAAACGCCAGAGCAGATATTAGACAACTGGGGCAGAGTAGGATCTTGGCCTCTATTGATCTTCAATACTGTGCACTCTGGTTCCTCCTGCTTAAAGAAGTCTCCCCCTCCCTGACCAAGAGTAAACAAGGTATGGGAAAGAAAAGGAAAAATGCATCCGTGGGTCTTCGCTAGGAGACATCAAGCATTCTGGGGAAATCAATCCTTGAGTAGGAGAGGCTGCTCCCTTTCCAAGGATATTTAGGTTGTTTCACATCTTCAGAGCAAGCTCAGGGGAAGAAAGCTTTAAGTGCTGCCCAGCTCAAAGGAGGGAGATCTGACTGTGGCACCAAGAAGGAAGGGAAGACCTTCTGTCTCATGAGTCGAGCAAGATGTGAGAGCAAGTTCTTAGTTATAACTACCTATAAAATCTTTTTGAAAGTAACAGTCTGAGTAGTGTACTTCTGGCCTACCTACTCTTAAGAAAACGGAGAGATCGCCTTTAACTCATTCCATAGGAACTCATTCCACAGATACAGTGGAAGAAACTCCGGACTAGGAATCAAGATGCCTGACTTCTAGTTCTGGCATTCTGCTTGTTAAGTTTCAGGTAACCCACAACAAAAATCAAATTAACTCGGGCCTCTCTTGTTAAATGGGAAAATCACCTTTTACTGATGTCAAAGTGCTTTAAAATTTTTTAAAAATGATTTGCAAAGTAAAGAATCCCTAAAATAACAGATTTCACCTGCTAATCTGTATTTTGTTGACCATTTACATAGGACAGCCTTTGATTTGTGAGGAAGAAAGCCTATCCAACAGTATTTCTATTTCCTCCCAGAACAGTTACCTGTCGGTACCAGAGTATTGGATCCACCTCTGCCTGTCGGCCACACTCAGCACCTGTCTTCGCCTCAGAGGCCTCCTTGCCTAGGTGGCCAGCCTCACTCAGCTTCACTTTAAGCCCTTCTGGGGTCTGGCTGGGGAGTTTGGAAGAGTCGTCTACCTTGGGGATGATGACTGACTTGGCAGGGTCGGCGCCCGGCTCCTTGGCCTTGCCAGGCCCTGACTTGACCAGGTCTGTCAGGCTGGGGGCCTTGGTGAGGGTTGGGGGAATCGACGGCTTTTGCTTCCACTCTTCCTTGAGCGCTGCCTCCCGCTCCTTCAGGCCCAACTCTGCCTTCTTGTCCAGTCCCCGCTGCTGCTGCTCCAAGCTCTGCCGTTTCTGCTGTTCCTCGTACTGCTGCCGGTACGCCGCGTTAGTGCTCAGGAGGTGTGCGTGGTAGCTCTGGTCGCCGTAGCCGTAGGGGGGCACGTAGGCATACTGGTTGTAGTACAGGGACTGCATGTACATGCTGGGCCGCTGCTGGATGACAGAAGGCTGCTGGCTGGAACTGCTCAGCTCTGGCTTCTTCTCCTCACAGGCATCACTCTTCACTTTCCCGTCTGTGCCCTCAGGCTCCTCATCCTTTTTTGTCTTCAGGGCCTGGCTCTCCACTCCTGCCTGGCTGCTGGGGTTCAGAGCCCCGGGGCTGGACTGTGCGTAACTTGGAGAATAGTAACTCTCAAAGCCTTGGTAATATGATGAGTCTTTGCTCTGTGGCTGAGGGGGGAAAAGAGTTTTCTTAGCCCCTTCTTTAACCAACTGTTCCGGGTCCTTGGGTTTGACACTCTCCACCTTGCCCTCCCCATCCTCCCCAGCATCAGAGATGTCAGAGTAGGCAGGGCTGTTGGTTTTGACGGAGCCGGCTTCAGCTCCATTCTGGGTCACTACGTGTAGAGGAGTCATGGGCTGGGTAGGGGTAGTGCTTTCTAAGCGGCTGCTGCCTCCAATGGAAGGGCTGGGGGCGTTGTCAGTGAAGCTGTAGACCTTGTCGGCTTCAGCCTTGATGCTGGCCAGGCGGCTTTGATGGGGGTCTGACGAGCCATTCAGGAGCCCTTCCATTTTCATCCCATCTCCTGACGATTCCCTGAAAGGGCTTTTGCCTTCTTCTGTTCGACACACCTTCCCAGGGGTCAGAGGACTTTCAAGTTCCTTTGAAGACTCCTTCTTTTTTTTGTCTTTCTTTTTCTTGTCCTTGGCTGGTGTCAAGGCAGGGCTGACTGTGAAGGGTTCTCCCATCACAGTGGGTTTGGGCTGAATGGGCTTGAGCTGCGGGCTGTTAGGCATGGCCTGGACTACTGTGGCGGCCAGGCCTGAGGAGGAGCCGGGGCTTGCTGCTGCGAAGGCAGCCGTCTGGAAGGTGTAGATCTGCTGTGGTGGGATGGCAGGGGCAATGGGCCGGGCTGACTTTAAGCTCTTGGAAGGAATCTTTTCAGGTTTCAAGCTAGAGGGTTTTTTACATTTTTCTTTCTCCATACACTTCCTTTCCAAAGAATCAAAGGCATCATTGCTTGTTTCATCCATTACTGAGGGTCCATCATCAGAGCCATCATTGGATAAGGCCCCGAGGTCTGTGTCCCCTTCACCACCCAACTTTTTCTTACAGAGGCCTTTTGTGCTGAATTTGCTTGAAGGAGAAGGGCTATGGGGCTCTATGAGCCGAACTTTGGGGGTTGCTGAGCGGGCAGGGGACAAGGAACCTTTTTGTGGGACAGATGCACCATTGCAGTTTCCGAGGTCTGTGTGGAGGGAGGGCTCCTCTCCGTACTCACTGTCTCCATCTGCTTCAGGCTTGCTGTCATCATCTGTATGGGCATGAGCTTGGTGATACTTAAGTCCATTGATGTGCTTGTACTTCTTGTTGCAGTTTGGGTGGGGACAGTCAATCAGGACTGGGGAGGGACAATTTCTATCTAGAACAGTGGGTTCCACCTTGGTCCCAGGGAGGGGGCCAGTGGCTGAGCCCATTGAATTTGTACGGACACGCTTGCTCCCTTTGGAGTCCTCTGAGCTAGAATTCAGCTCCATGTCTGAAAGAGGTTTATTTTTCCGCTTATTAGCAGAGGAGGGGCTGGCCTTGACATCCTCAGAGGTGCTACTGGCAGGTGGGCGATGCTCTGAAGAAGTCTGGCTGCCCCGACGACCTTTGCTATTGGCTCCTGCTCGGGTTTTGCTGCTGCTGGTCCCTTTGCTGTCAGAAGCTGTGGCTGCCTCGCTGACAGGTGTGTTACTATTGGGACGCATGCGTTTGCCTCTACCCCGACCATTGCGCATTTCCAAGTCACTGGTCGGGGAGTCACAGAACCTTGGCAAAGGACAAACACACAGGGTATTATTAAGAAGAGGAAACATCTTCAAACCAGCTTAGCTGCTCCCAGAACTGTCCAGATGGTAACTATCACTTTCAATAAATATGATTTGTTAAAGGAACTTCTGAAAGCATGAGAACTGCATTACGTGGTAAGCTCCTAGGGTGCCATATGCGTACTAGTATAAATTATTCACCAACATTTGGGTTCCCCATACCCTTGCCAACTGGAAACTAATGTTAGGAACAAGCTGCAAAGTGACATTCACTGAAATGTCAATCCTATAAGGTCAAACTGCAACTTGAAAAGGTCCTTGTGAAGCCCACACTGTCTAGTAGAATTTAATGGAATGAAAGGTTCTTGAGTTTATTTAAACTTCTGAGAGATACCTACCATCAAAAAGCATCATCAATGAATGTTTTCCACAGTCAGACTCGATGGCCTTGATCTCAAGGTGACTATAGGTGGAAGCCAGAATTCAACAATTCCAGACAAAGGCTTAAATAGAATCTCCTTCCCATTCCTATTCAACCCATCAACACCTAATTTATTTATTCTTCTGGAATGCCAGATGAGTTTAGTTGCCTTCCCTTGCCTCTACACCATAATGTCCTTTAAAATCTGGGTGTCTTTTCAAAGCTATCCAACTCTGGCAGGATAAAGGTATAAGGCACCACTGACTAGCATGGTTTAGACTAACAGAAACTAAAAAGCTGGAGAGTGCTTACCTGGGGGGTGCCCAATCATGCCGTGTGCAGTCAAGAAGTGTACCTACATATGTCTTGTTCCTCCATGTTACATTTACCACCAACATCCCTGAAAGATAAGAAGACTCAGATACAGGCAAGAGAAACCCTGCTGGCCACTGACAAGAGTACTTTCCATCTGAGTAGTGTTCTGGCTCTTGTAGGAGGGTTGAGGGGGCGCTCTGGGTTTCAATGAGACACACAGTGATAGTTCTGTGGGAACTGCCTACAGCCCTTCTGGGGCCCCTTAGGATCAACAATAGTTGGAAGATTTCATGGGGAGTTAATGTACATTTTCTTCACTTTAAAAAAAAGTATGCAGTATTTCAAACATACTAAATAAAAGGATAACCTAACAAAAACTTATGTACCTATCACCCAGCTCAATGAATTTATAAAATTTGTACCATATTTGCAACAGATTTCTTTTTTAAAGTGTAAAACATCATAGTTGAAAAGCATTGCTTACTATATTTACAGACTTTCCATTGACAGGACCATGCTGGGGATGTAACTTACCTTTCTCACTTCACATTACACATTTGAGATTTACCTATGTTGACATAAAAAGCTCAATCTATTTTAACTGTGCTTAAATATGTCATTGTATAACTTGACTATAATTTGTACACTTCCTGTTGATGGAAATTTAGTTTTTTTGCAATTGTTATCCTTAAATGACATCATAACGGATATTCCTGACATGTTCATTTTATTTAAAAATGCTTTTGAATAGATAATATATGTTCCAAAATTCAAAAGTAGCAAAAAAAAGTTGCAAACAAACTTCCATATAAAATGAGTCCCTCTTGTCACTGCTCTTCAGCCTTCCAGTTCTCCTACAAAGAAATATCCATGGATATCCATGTTTTCCTCCAGAGATATTTTACACACTTATAAGCAAATCTGTTTATACGCTCTTCCTCAAATGGTAGCAATATACAAACAATGTCATGAATATTTTTCTTCACTTTTTTTCATGTACACATTTATTTTGGATCATCCCATGTGAGTACACAAAGAACTTGATCCTTTTTGATAGTTGCATTTGAATGATTTCTAATCATACCGTAAGGTTTTTAATCAGCCCTCTGTTGATGGACATTTTAACTCGTTTCACTCTTCTGCTACTACAAACAATGCTGAATGAATAATCTTGTACAAGTGTGTTATCTTACTTAAATGAATGTCTGTAAAATTATTTCCTGTAAGTAAAACTGCTAATCACAGAGCAGTTGCATTTGGATTTTGCTTAATACTGCCAAATTGCCCTCAAAGAGGACGTACCAATTTATACACCCATCAGTAGTGCATGAGGACACCTGCTGTCCTTCCCTTTTGGCCACAGTGCTCTCAAAACTTTCAGATTTTAACCAGTCTTATAGGAAAAAAAGGTGTACATCATTTCCTTAAGACATCATTGCAAGACATTTGTATTTCCTTTCCAGTGAACACTCTGTTCATATCCTTTGTGTATTTTGTTACTGAATAACAAGTATTTTTCTTATTTGTGACTCTTAACATACTAGAGTAAGCCTCTTGTCTGTAGTATCAATCAGTTACTCCCCCTTGTTTGTCATTTGCTAATGGTGGCTAATGATATGCAGAATCTATTTAGTTTTATGATGCCAGAGTTGTTTTTTTGATCATGTTGCAAAACGCTTTCCCCATTTCGTCTCTATTAATAGCTTTTTCCTATGGCTTCTTCTAGTACTTTTATAGTTCAGTTTTTTTATATTTAAAATCTTTGATCCATCTGGAATTCAACCTGATATAAAATGTATGATATGGACCTAACTTTTGAATTTTGTTTTTGTGGCTGATTTTCTAAAGTATTTTTGGTTAGTTTTACCTTTTAATGAAGCCAAATATATTAAATTTTTCCTTTATGCTTTGTGCTTTTTATGTCTTTATCACAAGGTCATAAACATTATATCATGAGACATTTTAAAGGTATCTTTAACAAGAATGTTTTTTACATTTTTAATGACAAAAAAATGAAATAATATTTTACATTATAGGAAATTCAAGGAAATTATAGGAAATTCAAATATTGCCCATTAACAAAGTTTTATAGGAACAGAGCCACATTTACTCATTTACATGTTCACTGTCTATGAACGATTTTCAGGACATAAGGCAAAACTGAGTATGCAACAGACGCTACTCGCATAGCCCATGAAGCCGAAAATGTTTACTATCTGGCCCTTTATAGAAAACGTTTGCTAACCTATTTTAGATATTTTCTTTTTTCTAATATAAGTATTTAAAGGTACAAATTTGACTCAGACTACTTTGGCTACATCCCAAAAGTTTTGATATGTTTTCATCATTATTCAGATCAAGGCATTTTGTGCTTGGTTCTTGCAATTCATAATTTTTTTCTCTAACCACAGGCAGTTTGAAATTTATCTAAGATACTAAGTTTACCATTTTTTTCCAATGATGATTATATATAATTATATCTGTGACTACTTATCATTTCCAAGATTTTAAACTGATTACTTTTTCATGTGAGCAACACTGGTTATTACACTCACCCATATTATCAAGTTGCCTCAGCACACTGCATTGTAGTCACTGTCCATCGGTGTAGTAAGATGCTATAGAGTCACTACTTGTCTTCTCTGTCTATATTACCTTCCCCTGTGACCCCTGTACATTATGTATGCTAATCATAATGTCCCTTAATCTCCCTGTCCCTCCCTCCCCATGCACCCACCCTTTTCCAACTTCTTCACTTTGGTAACCGCTAGTCCCTTCTTGGAGTCTGTGAATCTGCTGTTGTTTTGTTTCCTCAGTTTTGCTTTGTTATCACACTCCACAAATGAATGAGATAGTTTGGTACTTGTCTTTCTCTGCCTGGCTTATTTCGCTGAGCATATACCCTCCAGCTCCTTCCATATTGTTACAAATGGTAGGATTTGTTTGTTTCTTATGGCTGAATAGTATTCCATTGTGTATATGTACCACATCTTCTTTATCCATTCATCTTCTGGTAGACAGGTTGCTTCCATTTCTTGGCTATTGTAAATAGTTCTGCAATAAACATAGGGGTGCATATGTCTTTTTGAATCTGAGAAATTATATTCTTTGGGTAAATTCTTAGGAGTGGAATTCCCGGATCAAATGATATTTCTATTTTTAGTGTTTTGAGGAACCTCCATATTGCTTTCCACAATGGTTAAACTAATTTACATTTCTGCCAGCAGTGTAGGAGGGTGCCCCTTTCTCCACATCCTTGTCAGCATTTGTTGTTCTTAGTCTTTTCATTGCTGGCCATCCTAACTGGTGTGAAGTGATATCTCATTGTGGTTTTTATTTGCATTTCCCTGATAATTAGTGATGTGAGCATCTTTTCATGTGCCTGTTGGCCATCTGAATTTATTTGGAGAATTGTCTGTTCAGATCATCTGTCCATTTCTTAATAGTGTTATTTGCTTTTTGGGTGTTGAGGCGTATGAGCTTTTTATATATTGTGGATGTCAACCCCTTTTTGGATATGTCATTTATGAATATATTCTTCCATACTGTAGGATCCTTTTTGTTCTACTGATGGTGTCCTTTGCTGTACAGAAGCTTTTTAGTTTGATATAGTCCCACTTGTTCATTTTTGCTTTTGTTTCCTTTGCCCAAGGAGATAAGTTCATGAAAAAGATGCTCATGTTTATATTCAAGAGAGTTTTGCCTATGTTTTCTTCTAAGAGTTTTAGGGTTTCATGACTTATATTCAGGTCTTTGATCCATTTCAAGCTGACTTTTGCATATGCAGTTAGACAGTAATTGTAGCTGCCCAGTTTTGCCGACACCAGTTGTTGAAGAGGCTCTCACTTCCCCATTGTATGTCCATGGCTCCTTTATCATATATTAATTAGCCATATATGCTTGGGTTTATATCTGGGTTCTCTATTCTATTCCATTGATCTTTTGCTCTGTTCTTGTGCCAATACCAAATTGTCTTGATTACTGTGGCTTTGTAGTAGAGTTTGAAGTTGGGAAGTACAATCCCCCAGCTTTATTCTTCCTTCTCAGGATTGCTTTGGCCATTCAGGGTTTTTGTGGTTCCATATGAATTTTAGAACTATTCTAGTTCACTGAAGAATGCTGTTGGTATTTTGATAGGGATTGGATTGAATCTGTAGATTGCTTTAAGCAGGATGGCCATTTTGACAATATTAATTCTTCCTAACCATGAGCATGGGATGTATTTCCATTTATTGGTGTCTTCTTTAATTTCTCTCATGAGCATCCTGTAGTTTTCAGGGTATAGGTCTTTCACCTCGTTGGTTAGGTTTATTCCTACTTATTTTATTCTTTTTGATGTAAATGGAATTGTTCTCTTGATTTCTCTTTCTGCTAGTTCATTGTTAGTAAATAGAAATGTCACCTATTTCTGTGTATTAATTTTGTATCCTGCAACTTAGCTGAATTATTAGTTCTAGTAGTTTTGGGGTGGATTCTTTAGGGTTTTTTATTTACAGTATCATGTCATCTGCAAACAGTGACAGTTTAACTTCTTCCTTACCAGTCTCGATGCCTTTTATTTCTTTGTGCTGTCTGATTGCCGTGGCTAGGACCTTCAGTACTACATTTAATAAAAGGGGGGAGAGTGGGCATCCTTGTATTGTTCCCAATCTTAGAGGAAAAGCTTTCAGCTTTTTGCTGTTAAGTATGATGCTGGCTGTGGGTTTGTCATATATGGCCTTTATTATGTTGAGGTACTTGCCTTCTATACCCATTTTATTGAGAGTTTTATCATGAATGGATACTGAATTTTGTCAAATGTGTTTTCAGCATCTATGGACGATTATGTGATTTTTGTCCTTCTCTTTGTTGATGTGGTATATGATGTTGATGGATTTTTGAATACTGTACCACCCTTGCATCCCTGGAATAAACCCTACTTGATCATGATGGATGATCTTTTTCATGTACTTTTGAATTCAGTTTGCAAATATTTTGTTGAGTATCTTTGCATCTATATTCATCAGGGATACTGGTCTGTATTTTTCTTTTTTTATGCTGTCTTTGCCTGGTTTTGGTATTAGAGTGATGCTGGCCTCATAGAAT